AAATCAAGAACTAAGCTAGAAACCAAATTGAATCAAGCAAGTAGATGAATTCAAAGGAAGAAAGAGGTCTTAGGATGGGTAATTGATTAGAGAATCTTAGAGGTTGATAATGATGTTTAGACAAACAATCCTAGGAAGAGAATTCATGAAGCAAGAACCCAATCCAAGAGCTAACTTTCATTAGTGGAAAGGATTCAAGCCAGCAATAAGCAACAATTCTCCTAAACCAATAAGCTCTCTAAACATTCACTATCATGAGCTAGACAAGCAAATCTCCTTGTTGGTTGGTCCAACATTTCTCCAAACACTTTTGATGTGGAAAATGTTTAAAATCTAGATATAAATTATCATTAGAGACCTAGCATTAAGAAAACCCAACAAGGAAGGATTGTACGAATTTAACCTCTAAACATCAAAATCAAACTCTAAAATCCCTAATCTATCCCATCCTCTAAGACCAAAGGGGTTTACTCACTAATCATGCTTAGAACACCAAATCCCATGGGGAAAGGGTCCTAATCATGATTAGAGAGATAAGATAAGAAGATTGTAGAGGAAAGAACTTGATTTGATTAAAATAGAAGTTGGGATCTAACAAATTGTTTAGAACCCTAAAGGGCTGTTTTTGGTGTTCTTGAAAGGGAAATTACAAGTGCCTAAAATAATAAGACTTTAATCTATTTATACTTGGAGACTCCAAAACCCTTGGTCAACTCATTTAGCTTGACTTCTTCCTTCCCCAAATGGTCTTGGCTCCAAACTTTGCGTTTTGGTCTTCATTTGGTACAGCTGGATAGTGGTCAAAGCTGGTCAACGCGGGTCAACTCGTCCTCTGGTCAACACTCAGCTGAAAGGCGAGAAACAGGTTTCTGAACCTGTTTGACATCCTGGTTGCGAACTCCTGAGTATTATTTTAATCTCCAACCTCCCATACTAGCTCCAAAACTCCTCAAAAGCACTAAATACAACTCCAAATGCAGAATGTATGCAATGTATGCTCTAAATGGTATGAATGTATACAATGGAAGGTAATTGACCTAAAATGAGTGAAATGAATGTCAAGAACATGCAAATATGTATGAAATTATATGTCTAAATGATGTAAAATATGAGTACATCAACACCCCCAAACTTATCACTTGCTTGCCCTCAAGCAAGAAGAACAAATCTGAGAGTATTGGATTAGGAGAAAGACTCAGATCCCAAGGTGCAATGAGAAGAAATGAGGTCAATGTCCTAGTTGAGAATTATAAGATGCAAAGTGAGTTTGCTTTACTTCAAAAACTTTAGCCACACTCATCAAGCAGCAAAATGACACTAGACCCAATCTACACATGCATTCATATCACTCTCACCTTTTGACATTCAATTAATACAAACCATGAATCAAAACTCATGCACTTCAAGATTTGCTCATTTGGTTAAGGGTTTAGGCTTTTTAGGAGATATGAAAGGTTTTTCCAAAGTGGTTTACTCATTTTTAAAACAGGGATCTCTCAAAGATGGATTGAGCTTGGGCAAAATGCTAAGAGTCAAGTCCAAGGATGATACAAAGCTGAACTTCCATCTACCCAAAACAGAGCTGAGAACCCAAAGATACCCACTGAAATCCTAGCTACCCTTTTCTTCAAGAAAATGAAACTCAAATGAACCCAAATGACACTCTCTCTTTTCTTTCTTTTCTGGACCTTGAGAGGGTTATAAACTAGGACTTAAGGGAAGATAAACTTTCTTTTCAAAACAGAGGATTAGACTTTTTCTGAACTTTTGTGGCTTAAGGCTTTTTTTTCTAGGCTTTGATTTTCTCTTTTTTTTTTTCTTGCCTAACTTTGACAACTTCACACAACCACTCTTTCTTTTCTTTTCCTTTTCTCCCATCCTTTCTCTTTTTTACTTTCTGCCACTCTCAAGGTCTCTTTTAAACTCACTCTCTTCCTCACAAACTCCCAACCACCCAATTCCTAAGCCTAGTCTAGCTCAAAAATCGTGAGCTAGTTCTACATGGAAGCTCAAACTTTGTCGGTCAAGACTCAACACTTTTTGCTTAGCTCAATCTGGAAAAGGCCTCATATCTCTCAGTAAAAGCTTTGGCTTGAAAGAAAGGTTTGGTACAGGGAGGGTTATCAAACAAACTTGGACACACAAAGAAGGATGAAAATTGGATAAAGAGTGTCCAAGGGAAACAAAATCCATGAGCAGAAACTTTTAATGCATGAGAATGATATTTAAGTGATCAAATTAGGTTCCAATAGATAAGGTGAGAGTTCAATTCAAAGCAATGATTCAACCAAGTCATGATGTCAAAATGTGCATTCCAAATGTGGTTCTATCTTAACTTCAAACTCACTCAATATGCACCAAATAATTAACAACTAGGCCATTGAAAACTTTTTGAAAAATCACACCTTTTAATGGAAATGATCAATATTTTTTTTCTTATGCAAGTGCAAGTAACTACATGAGATGCATCTAGACTCAATCCTAATGTGCAAATGCAAATGATGCTTTTCTTTTTGTGTTATGCAATGTTTTGAAAATTTTCATTTTTTTGGTTTTCTCTATGACATAGATGCAATGCACATGATGCATGAGACTCAAGGATGAAAATCGAAAATAAGAAAACAGAACACAAGGTCAAATGCTATGGACCTCTCCCCCAAACTTAAACTGCACAGTCCCTTGTGCAAATAAAAGCTTGAAGAAGAGACCCATCAAACAAAATGCAAAAACAGAAAAGACTAAAAATGCATAGTATTTACAATGTGTTGGAGTTGTACCTCTCAGGTACTCATGGAGGAGGAGGATGATTGATTTTCAAGGCTGTAAGATGCGTTGCTGTACTCTAGAGCTGGTGACCTCAAAGATTTAACATGGCTCAGACGGGAATCGGGTTGTTCTGAGGAGCAAACCTGTTTGAAATCTTGATTGCGACCATTCTGTCAAGTTTTTGCAATCTGATTTTTAGACAATCAACTCAGCTCTCTCAAGAACATCCCAATTCCTCATCCAAACAAGCTGCACCAAACCTACAACACAAAAGCACCAAAGGCAAACACAAAAAAAAAAAAATTGAAAAGCTTAAGTATATACAAAAGGATAAGCATGGGACTTCCTCCCAAGTGAGCTTGTTTTAGGTCCCAAGCTTGACCTTCTTTAACTCTTGCTAGTGAATGGTGAAGGGCTGCACGCCTTTGACAGTGGTATCCATGGCATGAGCAAGAGAACCGTGGGGTTTGACTGGATCACCTGGGGATGGATCAAGAGAGTGAGGATGTGGTTTCTCCATCTTTTTCTTTCTCTTAAGAGTGGCCTCTCTGCCTCTACACACCTCCTCCTTCTGAGCACGTCCCATGTGCTCACTAAACATATCAATGAGACACTCTCCATCCATAATATCTTCTCCACACTCATCAAGCACATGCACAACTTTGTCACACTCAACCTTGTCCTTCTTGAAGCTGGAATTGGCAATGGTTATGGTTCCACAATAACTTGTTGAAGAAACCTTCATTGGGTATGCAACCTTGCTGTTGATATTGTGGAGAGTGACCAGCTTCTTGTGAAAGTCAATTGAGGCTCCAACAGTTGTAAGGAATGGTGTTCCAAGGATCAATGGTACCTTCCTTATCTCCATACATACCCAAAACAGTCAGATCAGTTGGAACCTTGCAGTCTCCTATCTTTAAAGGGTAATCCTTGATTAGACCAAGTGGAGACTTAGAAGAGGCATCTCCAAACATGATAGAAGATATAGGAGGCGTCATGCTCTTTATACCCAGTTGCTTAACCATGGCAAGTGATATCAGATTCACACTTGCTCCAGAATCCACAAGAGCATCATCAAGCTTCAAATCTCCAAGGGTGCAAGGCAATGTGAACTTCCCTTGTTTCTCAAGCTTGGGAATGGAGGTTGGCGTGATATGGGCAGGATCTGGTGGTGTAGAGAGCTCAAGAAGCGCTGCCACTCTCTCTTTGTTCACAAGAACATCTCTAATCAGCTCTATTTGGAGGTGAGCTTCTTGCATATTGCCTATGTTTGGTAGATGAACACCAATATTGCTCATATCATTCCTGAATGTGGAGACTACCTTCTTTTGAGTTTTAGTGAGAACTCTCTCAGGAAATGGAAGCTCTGGTTTGTAAAGAGGAGGCTCAACCTTGATGGTTTCTTCTCTTGCAACAATCTTTGAGGCTTCCTCCTTGGCATTTCGTTTTTCAGCTTGAGAAGTCTCCTCATTCACAGAAATCTCAACACTTGTACCATGAAGGAGCCTGTAAAGTTCTTCTATAGCTCTCTCATTCTCTTCAGTCTCAGCCACACCATCTTTAGTAGAGAAAACTGCATGACAATACTCCTTTGTACTTGATGATGAAGAACCACCAACTTTAGCTTCCAAGGTAAGCACTTTGGTAGTTAGAGACTCAAACTTGTTGTTTAGATCATTGTATGAGCAATCAACCTTATTGTGAATCTCAACCATCCTCTTGTTCAACTCTAAGGCACTATTAGCTTGTCCTTGGATTATCTGTTGCAATATGGTCTTCATCTCTGCCTCTTGACCAGAATTGTGGCTTCCTTGAGCTTGAGTAGACCCAAGATCTTATGGAGAAAAACCGTGCTTGTAATAGACCCATTGGTTTCCATCTTGGCTGTCCACATAGTTGAGCTTTTTCTCTTGAATCTCCTCACCATTAATGAAGTGCACTTGCTTTTTCTGACCTGACAGTAGCTTGTCAAGCTTATCATTGAGAGTCTTGAGTTCCTTCTTGTGATTCTCTTCTTGAGCAAGACTGCCTCTCTCAGCTCTGTCACAATCTTCACCATAGCTTCCATCACTAGTGGCAACGTTCTCAACTAAAATCAATCCAGCATCAACATCTTTACCCATGAAGTAACCATTGCTTGCTGAATCAAGATGCATTCTGTATTTGGGTAATGTTCCTCTGTACAAGGTACTCAGTAGATTCTCTTTAGAGAAACCATGGTGAGGACACTGCATCTGGTAGCCCTTGAAGCGCTCATATGCCTCACAGAAAGTTTCTCCATGCATTTGCATGAAACCGGAGATATCATTGCGCAGTTGTGCTGTTCTTGAGGTTGGAAAGAACTTAGCCAAGAAAGATTGCTTGCACTGTGCCCAAGTGGTGACTGATCCAGCAGGCAGAGATGCTTCCCAAGTGAGAGCTTTATCCTCTAGAGAGAAAGGGAAAAGCCTTAACTTGAAACCATCTTCAGAAACTCCATTGAGTTGCTGCAAAGAACAAATTCTGTCAAACTTGTCAAGATGCTTCAATGGATCCTCATCCTTCATGCCATGAAACACTGAACTCTCCACCAATGAGATCAAGCTGGTCTTGATTTCAAAGTTAAAGGGGACTGGTGGTGGGGTGATTCCGTGGCGGTTGACATGAGAAGTCGGAGTGTCAGCAGCTCCGATTTGTCGTGGAGGGTGTGGAGGATGAACTGGATATCCTCCATGCTGCTGGTCAGCTCCCAATGGAAACTCTGGGACCCCTGGTGGGTCTGCCATGCTCACAAGCTATGGTACATTGTTCTCTAGCTGCTGTTCAGCTCTCAGTTGCTTCTCAGCTCTATCTCTGCCTTGCTTTGACTGTTTCTCTTGTTCAGCTCTTTGAAAATCACTTGTCCAGAACAGAATGTCTTGACCACGTGATCTTGTGTTCATAAACCTGCAAAACCACAAAGAAACTTCAAGAACGGATGAGCAGCAAGCGAAATATGAAATAAAAACTTGATCTTGAAAAATTTCTAAATCGAAAATGTCCAATCAAATCTCTCCAAATGGCAACGGCGCCAGTTTGAAAACAAGATTTTTAGGTGTTTCAAACCCTTAATCCCTGCTCATATCATTGCAGCATAGTTTAAGGTTATCAATCCACTTTGAAGAGTGATTGGGACAAGAAAGAAAGCAAGAAACTTTTCAAGTCAAGAGCAAAAAGATTTGGTTTTGTGAAATCCGAAATGAACAGTAAAAATGCAGAAATAAAGGCAATAAACAGAGTTTGAAGCAATTTGAAATCAAAGACTAAGCTAGAAACCAAATTGAATCAAGCAAGTAGATGAATTCAAAGGAAGAAAGAGGTCTTAGGATGGGGTAATTGATTAGAGAATCTTAGAGGTTGATAATGATGTTTAGACAAACAATCCTAGGAAGAGATTAACCCATTTTCATGGTGAAAATCACAAAGCAAGAACCCAATCCAAGAGCTAACTTTCATTAGTGGAAAGGATTCAAGCCAGCAATAAGCAACAATTCTCCTAAACCAATAAGCTCTCTAAACATCACTATCATGAGCTAGAGAAGCAAATCTCCTTGTTGGTTGGTCCAACATTTCTCCAAACACTTTTGATGTGGAAATGTTTAAAACCTAGATCTAAATTATCATTAGAGACCTAGCATTAAGAAAACCCAACAAGGAAGGATTGTAACGAAATTTAACCTCTAAACATCAAAATCAAACTCTAAAATCCCTAATCTATCCCATCCTCTAAGACCAAAGGGGTTTACTCACTAATCATGCTTAGAACACCAAATCCCATGGGGAAAGGGTCCTAATCATGATTAGAGAGATAAGATAAGAAGATTGTAGAAGGAAAGAACTTGATTTGATTAAAATAGAAGTTGGGATCTAACAAATTGTTTAGAACCCTAAAGAGGCTGTTTTTGGTGTTCTTGAAAGGGGAAATTACAAAGTGCCTAAAATAATAGGACTTTAATCTATTTATACTTGGAGACTCCAAAACCCTTGGTCAACTCATTTAGCTTGACTTCTTCCTTCCCCAAATGGTCTTGGCTCCAAACTTTGCGTTTTGGTCTTCATTTGGTACAGCTGGATAGTGGTCAAAGCTCAGTCAACGCGGGTCAACTCGTCCTCTTGGTCAACACTCAGCTGAAAGGCGAGAAACAGGTTTCTGAACCTGTTTGACATCCTGGTTGCGAACTCCTGAGTATTCTTTTAATCTCCAACCTCCCATACTAGCTCCAAACTCCTCAAAAGCACCTAAATGCAACTCCAAATGCAGAATGTATGCAATGTATGCTCTAAATGGTATGAATGTATACAATGGAAGGTAATTGACCTAAAATGAGTGAAATGAATGTCAAGAACATGCAAATATGTATGAAATTATATGTCTAAATGATGTAAAATATGAGTACATCAACACCCCCAAACTTATCACTTGCTTGCCCTCAAGCAAGAAGAACAAATCTGAGAGTATTGGATTAGGAGAAAGACTCAGATTCCCAAGGTGCAATGAGAAGAAATGAGGTCAATGTCCTAGTTGAGAATTATAAGATGCAAAGTGAGTTTGCTTTACTTCAAAAACTTTAGCCACATTCATCAAGCAGCAAAATGACACTAGACCCAATCTACACATGCATTCATATCACTCTCACCTTTTGACATTCAATTAATACAAACCATGAATCAAAACTCATGCACTTCAAGATTTGCTCATTTGGTTAAGGGTTTAGGCTTTTTAGGAGATATGAAAGGTTTTTCCAAAGTGGTTTACTCATTTTTAAAACAGGGATCTCTCAAAGATGGATTGAGCTTGGGCAAAATGCTAAGAGTCAAGTCCAAGGATGATACAAAGCTGAACTTCCATCTACCCAAAACAGAGCTGAGAACCCAAAGATACCCACTGAAATCCTAGCTACCCTTTTCTTCAAGAAAAATGAAACTCAAATGAACCCAAATGACACTCTCTCTTTTCTTTCTTTTCTGGACCTTGAGAGGGTTATAAACTAGGACTTAAGGGAAGATAAACTTTCTTTTCAAAACAGAGGATAGACTTTTTTGAACTTTTGTGGCTTAAGGCTTTTCTTTTCTAGGCTTTGATTTTCTCTTTTTTTTTTTCTTGCCTAACTTTGACAACTTCACACAGCCACCACTCTTTCTTTTCTTTTCCTTTTCTCCCATCCTTCTCTCTTTTTTACTTTCTGCCACTCTCAAGGTCTCTTTTAAACTCACTCTCTTCCTCACAAACTCCCAACCACCCAATTCCTAAGCCTAGTCTAGCTCAAAAACGTGAGCTAGTTCTACATGGAAGCTCAAACTTTGTCGGTCAAGACTCAACACTTTTTGCTTAGCTCAATCTGGAAAAGGCCTCACATCTCTCAGTAAAAGCTTTGGCTTGAAAGAAAGGTTTGGTACAGGGAGGGTTATCAAACAAACTTGGACACACAAAGAAGGATGAAAATTGGATAAAGAGTGTCCAAGGGAAACAAAATCCATGAGCAGAAACTTTTAATGCATGAGAATGATATTTAAGTGATCAAATTAGGTTCCAATAGATAAGGTGAGAGTTCAATTCAAAGCAATGATTCAACCAAGTCATGATGTCAAAATGTGCATTCCAAATGTGGTTCTATCTTAACTTCAAACTCACTCAATATGCACCAAATAATTAACAACTAGGCCATTGAAAACTTTTCGAAAAATCACACCTTTTAATGGAAATGATCAATATTTTTTTTCTTATGCAAGTGCAAGTAACTACATGAGATGCATCTAGACTCAATCCTAATGTGCAAATGCAAATGATGCTTTTCTTTTTGTGTTATGCAATGTTTTGAAAATTTTCATTTTTTTGGTTTTCTCTATGACATAGATGCAATGCACATGATGCATGAGACTCAAGGATGAAAATCGAAAATAAGAAAACAGAACACAAGGTCAAATGCTATGGACCTCTCCCCCAAACTTAAACTGCACAGTCCCTTGTGCAAATAAAAGCTTGAAGAAGAGACCCATCAAACAAAATGCAAAAACAGAGAAGACTAAAAATGCATAGTATTTACAATGTGTTGGAGTTGTACCTCTCAGGTACTCATGGAGGAGGAGGATGATTGATTTTCAAGGCTGTAAGATGCGTTGCTGTACTCCAGAGCTGGTGACCTCAAAGATTTAACATGGCTCAGACGGGAATCGGGTTGTTCTGAGGAGCAAACCTGTTTGAAATCTGATTGCGACCATTCTGTCAAGTTTTTGCAATCTGATTTTTAGACAATCAACTCAGGTCTCTCAAGAACATCCCAATTCCTCATCCAAACAAGCTGCACCAAACCTACAACACAAAAGCACCAAAGGCAAACACAAAAAAAAAAAAATTGAAAAGCTTAAGTATATACAAAAGGATAAGCATGGGACTTCCTCCCAAGTGAGCTTGTTTTAGGTCCCAAGCTTGACCTTCTTTAACTCTTGCTAGTGAATGGTGAAGGGCTGCACGCCTTTGACAGTGGTATCCATGGCATGAGCAAGAGAACCGTGGGGTTTGACTGGATCACCTGGGGATGGATCAAGAGAGTGAGGATGTGGTTTCTCCATCTTTTTCTTTCTCTTAAGAGTGGCCTCTCTGCCTCTACACACCTCCTCCTTCTGAGCACGTCCCATGTGCTCACTAAACATATCAATGAGACACTCTCCATCCATAATATCTTCTCCACACTCATCAAGCACATGCACAACTTTGTCACACTCAACCTTGTCCTTCTTGAAGCTGGAATTGGCAATGGTTATG